AGCATCGCAACACTCAGCAGTTTCAACGTTGGTGAGTTATTTTAAACATAACAATGCAGTGGTAGTATCAATGTTGCAGGTATGTCGCCACTTGATTCGCGTGAATTACAATCCGCGGAACTGGAAGAAATTTCTTCCGTTTCAAGCAGTAATTTGCCATCCTTCAACACATAGCTCGGTTCCTTTTTGTAATAGCTGCCGTACATCTCTTTCAGCGTCTTTTTTGTCAGATTAAACTCACGCACGCCAAAGCTTTGTTTGTCTGCGCACTCTTTCTCAGCTTTGCGTTTCGCTGCCTTGCGGTATTCGTGCGCCACTTGTTCGGCTGCAGTGCGATGCAGCGCATTTTCATCATCCACAGAGGTGCGTCTCGATGACCATGCGCTGGAAATGGACTTACGCGAACGTCGTATGATTTGACGGCACTTATTTGTTATGCCGCCCACAATTTCGGAAATGAGCGCCACCGCACCTAATAGATAACCTATACCCATTTGTAGAAACATTCCCTCGGTATCGGCAGTGGTCAATTGTCGCTCTTCTTGTATGCGCTCGCGCAATGAATTTGACGAGCTTGCAGCAGTTTTCCACTGGCGGAACGTTGCATAGACCAACGGACTTCGTTCAGTATTTTGCTCATTAAGCCACTTTGCTGTGCCAATAAGATCATTGAATCTATTTTGCGCTTATAAACGGAGTGGCGCGGATAGAGAAAACCGACTTGAAATAACGCGAAGCATTCCTCGCTGAGGTGAAGCGCTGAACGACGCGATATGTTCCTGGGTGGGAGAAAAACGTTGTAAAGATAAATGTGGCACTTACGTTGTTCAAGAGTTAGCTGCACATACTCATCGGTGAAATTTTTTTGCACCATGAATTCCAGCTGCGCCGCAGAGCCTAGAAAAGCGTAATTCCAGAAGAAACTTTGTGTAACATTGCCAATACCCTCCTCCAAAGTTGAAACGAACTCCATTTTCTTATACAGCTTCGCTGTTTGTACGTGCGTGGAGTTTTGAAACCAAGTCTCCCAACCGCTGTTGTCTGCAGAAGAAGGAAGGTATATTTGGAATATACTCTACCGAAGTTAGTCCTCCGTTCTTAAAGTAAATAAAGTTAAAGGAGCGTTCGATAACATTTGTCTATATGTAGGTGATGGAACAATCTGTTATGGGAGGCATCGTTGTACAATGTTGATAAGAAGATACAGACTAGTCTCTATTAAGATTACTAGGTTTAGTGCACATATATTCGGCCCTATGCTGAATATCGTCATCGTCATAGCCGACGATCGTCAGCGCATCAGTAAAATGGTGTTCAGAAGTACGTCAGTATTCGAACGAAGTTGAAAAAGCGTGGTGCGGGTCTACCGGGACAGTTGAACCTCTGTTCTGTCTTATCAACGGTAGGTGGTATTTCTCCTAAAACGACATTTAAGGATTGTAGTCGGGAGTTGGCATAGTTTGAGCCAGACTCCCTATGAATGCCGTTTATGGCTTGTCTGTACAGAATCGGGTCCAGTGGTTGGTATATACACGTCGGGACACCGGGCCTTCTGCCGTGCCTTGGCAAGGGCTCTGCCGAAAGCAGGAGTAGGTTCGGGTGACCACTCTATGGAGATGATGTTCTAACGGTATGAGAAGGCATTTCGTGGCTTCCCGGAGTGCCGTATTCTGACAGGTCTGCATAGCTTAGAACCGGCTGGCCAATTTCCTTGTAAGTTGCCAACAACGTTTCATGTGCCAGTTATTTAAGGACTTTGTTGCGGCTGTGCTTGATTCACAATTGCGGTTGCATGCGCCGAGAAAGAGAGCAGGCTGTAGAAGGTGACTTCGAGCATTTAGGGGTGGTTCGCAGTCGGAATTTTGCGCGACATCGTCCAGGCTGAGGATTTTGTTCGGGAAACGGTTAGTCTTCTTGCAGTGAAGAAGCGAAAAAAGTACGAGTAGGCCATCTCTTCCATTGTCTGACGACATTATCGAGCAATTTTAAGCGTATGAGATGATAAAGAGCGCCAAACCTAGACTAAAACCACTATCTCGTTGCGCTTACAGAAGAGATCCATGGACGCCTCGTCCCCCTCTTCCGACAGGTAGTGAGCGCACATGATCGAGTTGGCGAAGAATCTCGCTTTGATTTGGATTGTGTCTAGACGGCCGTATACCATGTAGAAAGTACTTGGCGACGGAGTGTCTACCATAACAAATCCAACACTGAATTTGCGTTCCTTTACATGGCAGCTGCAGTATCTTTTCGGTGACATCAACCAGCCGGGCGGAGGCACCTTTCACATTAAGGGTCCGGACATTCCAGGTGCATCAAATCACCTTCAAATCATAGTGTTATAATCGTTTGCCGTGGTCGTCGTCAAAGGAAGGAGTCTCATCTGAGGCTGAACTTAACCTTTTATTGGCAGGGGTTTTAACGTGGTGGGCCCCAAACTCAGCGCATAACCCATAGCTGGGGGTTTTCCTTCTCAAAATCAACTCGCACTCGAACCGGTGTTCGATCGCTACCCAGAGGATACTTGGTGTAAACACCACAAGTTGTGAGCTGCTTGAGCCGAATGCAAGTGTATCGTAAGTTGGCTCACATACGTGGACTACTGCAACCAAAATCATCCTCCACACAACCACATTTCAAACTCATTACGCACCGCGGCAGCTGAAGTAGTAGGAGACGAGGCATGAAAACATGCCATCTACAGGGCCATGCAGCGATCGGGTGCAACGCGAGCTATGTGGGACCGATAAAGAGAGCGGAAGAGGAAGCAGGACGTATTTTCCGTAATAAGAAGTGAGAGTGCGAAGAGTTTTAAATGCTGGCCGACTGGAAAAACGCCCGAAAATTCTACCAGAATGTAAGGCGACATACGGAAGGCTTCAATATCAGTAGTGGCGAGTACCGCAGACGATGCAAAAATCAGTGTATGAGCTTTACAACACCATGAACAAAGTGCAGTAAATTGAAACACAGCTCGGCCATGTCATACGACATGAAAATATATAACGCGGATCATGATGTTGGTAGCAGATGAAAAGGAAGGGCTACTCTGAGTTGGAAATACTAGTCGAGCGTTGGAAATACTAGTACTCCAGTTTGTTCTTGGTGCGACCCCTCCGGAGTATCGTGGTGGCTGTGGTTTAAACCCAAATGCGGGTAGAACCAGCTGTGGTTGAATGTGGAGTTGCATTGCAACCGGGTGCCGGACCCATAGTACGGCAGAGGTTTAGATGGGCCTCGATCTCTACCAAGGTGGCTAGTGTGTCCACCCCACACTGCCAATTGGTACTGAAGTGCTTGCATTTCAGGGCGCTGATCAATGCATTTGAATTGATCCGTTGTGCTTAGGAGCACCATGATGTCAAGTCATTGTGGCAGGTAGTCACGTCAAGCACCGATACATCTGTAGCCTAGACCTTAGGTTTCCTAATCACTTTCGGATTTATCGGGAAGCTACGACTGATAATAAAGAAGCAGACGATGGGAAGCCAATTTGTGTGCCACCGATAAGATAGGTGAATATCTACCGTGATAGCTCAGAGGCAATCAAGGACTTGTGCTCATTAACGGTGCGCCCAAAATTAGGCGACATGGTTATGTCTGACCTCTCTTTCAGTTGTGTTAGAATGTTTCCTTGTTAGGCTTGTATATATTGGTACAAAGTAGCTTAGCGATCCCTGGACCAACTCCGGGGGATGTTTAGGTGTAAGGCCTTTCTGAGAGGCAAAAAAAGCGCAACTCCGAATATTGGTAGGGGATTACACAGAAAATTTTTTGATTGGAATTCACGGAATGCAAGTAAATATCATTTCTGGTCCACATTGTTGCAGCTGTTAAGAATTGATGATGCGGGATTAACTTACAAGTTTCTGCTACGGGTTGAACAGGCCTGTTACTGTGCAAACTGGAGTCATCACTAAGGACAACGACCCAAGTGTCCTCAATAATGTTGGACATTCTATGTTTTGTATTTTTCGCGGCGCAAGTACATTCACCGAGTAGTCTTTCAATGAATGAAGGTTGCGTTACTTCCAAACTGAGCTAGAGTATTACCATCGGAGGTTTTATCATTAATTAGTCAGAAATATATGGTCTTAGAATGACGCATAACAAGGTTAGGTAGGTCAATCCTGCACGCAATGAACGTTTGGTCACTTGAGGTACCAGATGAAGTTCGAAATTTAAGTAGACTGATACTAGTAGGCCACGTTTAGTATGCTAATGCTTTGAGCGAATCTAATCCGGAAATAGTCATAAATGAATTCGCCTTGGTAGATAATTGTTACTGAAACGAGCTACTGGTCTGAAAACAAAAATCTACTAAATAAGAAAAAAAAAATATAAAAAAGTCTGATCTTGCGATAGTGGACTCCCAAAAACGCAAGAATTTAATTACATCCGCGAATGATGTTTGTTCATTGTCGCCATTTTCAGCGAGGTCTGTTCAAAGGCATAGAGATCCGCCAAGTCTGGACCTTCATAAGACAACCACAGTTTTCATAACGCGGGAAATTGGAAGGTTTTAATATCCCGATATCTTAGTCTTTTGGCAGAAGGGATATATCTGGGCGTAACTCCAAACTAACATATAAAACTCAGGACTAGTTAAAGGCAAATTGCGCACTGAAAGTTTTCGGTTAGTGTTGACGAATCTTGGGGTCTGAGAGAATCACTTTTTTAGTTTGGGTCAGTGTACACAGTTTCAAGGCCTACACAAACATCTGCGATACGGTACCGCGCGGTACGATGATATGTTTGATTGTACCGCGCATATATATTGTCCGGAATTGCAGCACAATACGCTTGTTTGAGCAGACCTTTAGCCAGTATTGTAGTACCTTTGTTCCTGGCTCCAATAAATAAACTGATACCTGAAGTTCCTCATGGAAGAAGGTACCTTAGGTAGGGAATAATTACCAACACATTCTTTCTATACTGACAGGATGGACCTGGATCCGGCTGGCATCTGGAGGTAACTTTAAATGATTTTCTTCCCCTGCCACAATTAAACCAGTTATTCAATCGGCGTTAATTGCTGGAATCGAGATTCCGAAAGATCGGAGTCTGCACTGGCAACATAGTTCCAATGCTCTTTGAAGTCCTTCGTGCCTATTCTTTAATCGTCCGGGTACTTTCAGGTGAATTTTCCTTCTAGACGGCATTGGGGTAAATGCTTAATATTTCTCTCTCTCTATCGTTCTGACTATCCCACTCAGCTAACATCCTCCGTAATAAATTGCTGGGGATTAAGAGGGCCTGTACTGCATTGAAAAGCAACACCAAAAAATAAAATCATACGTATTCTGCGGTAGCCGATCAGCACTTTTGACACTGCCATCAGCAATAACAAATTCTAAATAAGGCAGAAATTGCAAGTGTACCTTATGGTTGATGCCCGAGTCAATAGAAATTTCACTCATCTGGGTTCAAGACCTCTTAATGAAGCCGCACTCAAGAGACACTGTCTATTTGGAGAACATCGGGCTCCTGTGGATCCATCAAGAGGTCCAAGGGGTAAAAAGATACCAACGAATCTCTGAAGTAGAAAATATCAGAGGTTCCAGTGTATCAAAATGGCGCTTAGAGAGCTAATTGGGCCCTGCTCTGGTAATGATGGTATCCAGCAACCCTTCAACCACTTAGAAATATCCCGCAAATTGTAGAACTGCAAGTCTTCGCAATATCCAATTGGATCGGAGCCGATTATAGGATCCAGTGGTACAATTCTAGCAGGGACTGTCAAATACGTCTTACGAATAAGACTAATGAGAACCGATGTAGTGATACCGACATTAGTAAAATAGTTTTGGATTTGCAAAAAAGCTAAAGAGGGTAGCCCCGAAATTTTTTCTTAAAACGAGGAGCGAAAGTTCGCCAAGGAGAAAAGACTCACACCGCATGTCCGTTTCCCCCCTCTCTTTGAACTTGCTCTGAACCTTAAGTACAATATTTTACTTACCCAAAGTTCCTACGCGGAAAAAGAGACCCAATAAATCATTCACCGAATCAACGGTATTCGGAAAGGCTGGCAGTGTAACAAATGCAATAATAGAGCCAGTATAACAGGCGGTTATTATAATCGTAAATAACCAATAAGAGCCTATGAGAACTCGTGTTGATGTCTTCTGCGTATTAGCCCACGAATATTTGCCGGAGAAAGTCAAGCTGTTCGTAAACATTCCAAAGACATACCAAAACATATTTTCCATTTCACCCCAATTTCCAATCAAATGGCGCAAAGTTAATCGATCACTGTAGACAATGGGAAATATTGCGCCCAAATAAATGATGACAATACAAACCCAAACAGGCCACTGAAATGGTCCCATAATTGCGCGATATCTGAAATGAAATGCAGAAATAGGAAATTCACGGTAAAGTACTCGTATGCAATTCTAACTCACTTTGGCAACGCTTTCGATGCAAGCGTAATAAAGCTGGCACAATCGCGTGAATGCCCAATTGACATGTCGGTCTCTGTGAGTCGCTCCTCGGTAATATATAGTCCACACATGCCGATATCAGCAGCTCGCCGTGCAACTTGCAATTCTATATTATCGGAAACACTAAACGGTTTAGAGTGAGTTAGGTTGTTAGCTGCATTTATCAAAAAAAAAAGGAAAAAGAAATTGTATGGATAAACCACCTATTGCCATCTGCTCGGTTCGGTACTTCAATTATATCCAGTGTAAAATTGAGCTTCGATGCAATCAAGTTGAGCAAACGATATTCGACGCCATCCCAATTGGTGCTCGTAGTGCCGCCGGTGGATAGTTTTTGTATACGAAATATAAAAGGCGGTTGATTAGCCGTCGTCACTTGGAAACTATGTCCAGCAAAACCTTTTGAAAATTTCGGTGGAAAGAGACTGACATGTGGGCGCGAGAGTGCACCTCGCATCCAACTAGTCAACACAACGGGTGTGTTGGAACCCAACCCATCAGTGTATAGTTTGTGCGTGTAGAGTACGTAGGGGCGTTCCTGAGGATATGAGGTTAGGTAAAATTTAAAATATTTTTTGGTTCGTAAGGAAGAAAAGAGGCTTCTGTGTGACACCAAAAGTCTACTGAGTGATGTTTATAGCGATAATTAGGGAAACCATCTTCTAATCTCCATTTCAACGCCTCGGATTCATCGTCATTTCTTGAGACCATTAGAGTAGGTTATATTAGGTTAGATCGGAGGGCCGCCTCCGCAGGTGAAGGCACACTTAGACATGGATTAGGCTATACATTGTGGTTCCCTTAAGAAATGAGGGGAAAAGACATAGGGAGGCCGGAAGGGTAGGTGGAAGGTATAAAAAAGAGGGACGGAGGAATAGGAAAATGAAACCAAGGGCTTCTTAAAGCGGGTTGATGTGTTGAGCTTGAATAGCAACAGGAAGTTGGGGGCTTTCTTGAAGTGAAGTGAATCAACGCACTGAATTTCGTGCGCTTCGCGAAATTTGCGTTCGATCACAAAGCAGAGATTGGGACACGCTTGACCATTCCACGTTTGTACATCAATTCACAAACTGATTTAAGATTTGGATAACCACATATAGGGGGTTCGGCATACGTAGCATATTAATGGTTGCCTTGCTCAATTTGATGAACACACCGTTTTAATGTGGCGAAGACAGAACTGTAAAACTACGCACTTTTTGTGCAACTTTGTTGATACCGCGGATGCGGATCACAAAAGCCAATTTAAATTTTTAAGGCCCGTCGAATTGGCCGCATTTCTTTGCCACACAGCGCTACTCCATCTCATGGCGTCCATCACGGAGTTTTCTTGTTTGATATTTCTCAGCATGCAGCAAGTTTTCACATTTATAGCTGAAATACAATGCCGGCGAACGGCGAACTCACTACAGCGAAATTCGCGCTGTCAAAATTAGAACACCCGCAAGCATATGAAATAGAACACAGCCAAAGCGAAATGCGAAGTTCGCTTGGCGGCGTTTCATGGCGATAGATTTATTTCTATCGCCCTGCTGGGCGATGACAGCTGTGCGTGCCAAAGGTGGCCGTATTTGTTTTTTGCTTTCAAAGTTTTAAAAGAAAACAACCTAACACGATTTTTTTTTGTTGTTTGAAAAATATAGTAGTGGATTCGTTAAATCTGGCTTGAAACAAATTATTTATAATAATCTTTCTTTGTTTTACAATTTATATTTGTTATCATTTCCTCATTTCTAAATATGGTTTAGTTTTTTCTAAATATGGTCACCCAAATTATAAAGGCGACCAAATGGGATCAGCTGTTTTCGCTACCGCTCTAATTCTGTTTAAGTAGGCGAAATAGTTGGGCGAACGGTGAACGACAGCATCGCCCAGTTTGGCGAAATTT